GGGGGGTAAACTTAGAAAATACTTATTTCAAATGTTGTCTATGACCCCATTGTAGATATTTTACCTCTCTTCCTGTCCCCACTTTCCCTCCAACAGCATGATATAAAGAAAAATTGTGCCACTGTAACAGAAGTCACAAACAGTTAAAAAAAAAAAAAAAAAAAAAAAAGTTTGAACCCCTCCCCACCTGATTAATAAAAGTGTATTTTTGTAGCATGTATTAGCACTGGAGTTATTGGGGAAAAAAGGATTGTCCCATGGGAAATCCTCCAGTGGGTGTTCTATATCGCAATAAAGCTTAACAGGAGTACTGTATAACTTATATACTCCATACAAAACTAAAAAGGTTTTGTCTCAAGTTAAGTTTAAAGAGTGTTGAGAGATTAGGTGTTAAGAGCTAGAATGTCAGGATCTGACCCAGAGTTTCCTCTGTACCTAGGAGTGGCTCATCCCATTAAGCCACATAAAGTCCTAGATAACTTCCTACCTGATCTCTGGGCCATCATTCACCGATACCAGGTTTCTTGTTGAGCTCTGAACTCTTTTCTCAACTCTTTGCCTTTCCATTTAGGTTATGCCTCTGCACCTCCTGATTGCCATATTGTGCTTTTGTGATCATCTTACTTATTGGTGCTACTGCTACACAGCTTCATTATCTACCGCTACTTATATACTAACCTTTGGCTGACTTATCAACTACTCTTCATTGTGCTCTTCTTCTTTCTGGGTACCTTTGACTACTGACTCCAGTTTGATAATGCTTCTGCCTTGTACCCATCTCTTCTGTAGCTACCTGTGAACTGAACCCAGCCTGTTACCAGTAACTAGATAAGACTTTGATCCAGATCATGATATAGTTGTCAATTGCTCAGGTAATAAAAGGTCAAGTGTTAAGGTGGTGCTTCAAAAGGGATACTTCAGCAGTTATTCAAATACTGGGTAGCTACAGCATTCAAACTCGTTCTCAGTGCTGGAAGTGTCATGATTAACGCATAAATGTGAAAAGGTTCTTACAATGATAGGACTTCTGTAGGCACCACAGCTCCAACCAAAGACCCCAAATTTAGAGTATTTGGAGTAATCCATTTTTCAGTGTATGGTAGCTGGATAAGGGAACTCTCCTTGATGTGATAAAAAATACCTTTTGTTATGGCTGCATTTTGTGCTGTAGTTAAAAAAACAAAAACTGAACTTTGGAAGCTGTGTACAAAAAAAAGTCAAGCAGAGGGCAAAGTACTATTCACCAGTATTGCCTGTGGTCACTCTCTAGCTGATGTTCTTCTCCATCGTGGATTAAGCATGGCACAGGGGGTGGCCTGTACTGCGGACATGGGCTAGGGGTGGTCTGTATTGGGGGAATATTTATATTGGCAGTAGGAGGTAATTTTTGGTTATATTCTGTACACTAATTAGTGCAATAGTATACACACAATGATCTATTTTCATGCGTTTTTTAAAGTCCAACTTTCAATAATCACACTCCAGTGAACAAAACAACTCGTGCTGATATCCGTGTAAAAACGTGGGTTGATGGCTGTACAAAAGATCATCCAATCACCGGCTGAATTAGCCTCACCTTACAGACTCGACCCTTGCGAGTCAAAGCGTTTTAATAGGATCCCTCTCACAGATCCTCCAGGTTAGTATCACTCCAAACGACAGCTCCCACTATGTGCAGATCTCCCTCTGGGGATCAGAACTCCAATACTGGCTCCTTCTCCAGGCAGGGTCACGTACTGCGCTAACCACTCACATGTAACATAAAACACAAACTTCCATTGTGTAATATGTTTATTGCCAAAAAATGGTAAAATAGAATGCGCACTTACATCAGATTAATGTAAATCAAGGCTCCCACCACATGCTCTTAAATGTCATTTGCATGGGTGTGCAGAGTACAAAGAGGTGTACCAAGATGGCCGCCACGCCGGACGTACGTCACTACGTCGGGCCGACGCGTTGCGTCACAGTATCATGCGACTTCCTCAGCGCTGGGCAGACAATGGCATCCCTAGCACTACCCATAGATTTGCTGCATTGTGGGCTGCTTGCTTTGGTTTCAAAACAAGCATACGTGTTCATGAAAAAACAGGACATCCAACTTGGATACATTGTGAAATAGGCAAGCAAATGCATTGCATAGGAGTTTCTAAATATTTACAGAAAATAAGTAGGTAAAATAAGATGAGAAGAATAAAAAAAATCCTTCTGCAATTCTTGCAAAGGGTATAGTGGACTCAGAGAATTGGTTTTCTCATTATAATTGGAGATGTACTTTATATTTCAACAGCTACTTATATTACAACATTATCCTGCAGTCCCAGTTCTATCAGAGTTTTACCTTCAAGGTCCTTGGCTGTGATACTGTCAAGTGTTCTTCTCCAGGGTGTCCATAATAGCCGAGGAGCATAGTGACAATCCCTGAGATGATACATTCAGGATAAACAATATATCCTGATAACATTACTCTCCAGCCTCCTTACTCCAAGTGTATATCATTATAGTTCCATCATACAGGTCAGATTCAGTAGAGGAAGCACTGAACACATATTAATGATATTATTTGGCTTTCCCCCCCTCTCGTTGCGAGATTTGACATGAACACAGCTTTGCCATATGGTGAGCAGAAGTTTTTGCCAGGAATGATGGGTGACTCGTCTTCTGCGTCTACCTATTCATTACTCATCCCAGACATCATCTGCACAAACAGACTGAGCCAAGTAGTCATTTGTATCATGTCCAAAGGTAAAATAACATGACTACATGTAGGACACAAGATACAACATTACCATAATGGATTTTATTAAATCACAAACGCCAGCTGTGCATTCCTATTAGGGCCTATATGGACAATACAAAAAACAGTGTATATTAGAAATATATATATATATATATATATATATATATATATATACACACACACACACACACACACACACACATATACACACATACATACACATACATACACACATATATATATATACACACACACACTATATAAAAACAATATATATCACACATACACACACACAAGGATCTGTAGATTGGAGTATGGCTCCAGGGGAGAAGCTTGTAGAGGTCACAGAGTTATAGGTTGTCCCAAAGGAGCTAGCACAGATGGATACTGGTTTAGGAGGACCACAGCCCACGTCACACTGGCAAATTTGTTGCAGCAATTTTTAGCAGTTAAAGAAATAATTCTCATTTGCATCTTTCTTTATGAATAAAATGAGTTGCATTCATGGAAAAGTAAGCATCACCAATGTTTCAAGAGATTGTGCAATTAACTTTTTGCAGCATTTATACTCCACAGAACTGCCAGTAGCTATACGAGGGGCGACTGAAAATTTCTCAGCCTCCCCATGAAGCATTTGTCTTAGCCCAATTTTATTTTTGCTACTCATAGTACATATCTTTGGAAGGTTCCATACCAAATTTCTCACAAATAGCTTTTTCTTTGTTTCAGTTATTGAAGACTGAAGCACAGAAGGTCATCATTGTCTGAAAGATGGAGAAAGTGAGCAAAGGTGCTGTTATCCAATACCTGCTGAAAAAGGGAATGAGTGGACAGGACATTCACAAGGACATGATGGAAACATTGGGGGGAGGATGCCCCTTCCTATTCCACCATTAAAAAGTGGGTGGTGGAATTCAAGAGGGGGAACCCCTCTGTCCAAGATGTCCCTTGCATTGGAAGGCCAGCAACTGCCTGAACGGAGGAAAACATCACAGAAATCCAGGATCTCGTAATGGCAGACATGCGTGTGACAGAACGTTTCATCGCAGAGAAAGTGGGCATATGCCAGGAACATTTTGGACACATTTTAAACAGTAGTGCTGGACATGCACAAGGTGGGTCCCGAGAATGTTGACTGTTGAAAACAAAACATGACAGACAGCAGGTATTGGATAACAGCACATTTGCTCACTTTCGCCATCTTTCAGACAATGATGGACTTCTGCGCTTCAGTCTTCAATAACTCAAACAAAGAAAAAGCTATTTGTGAGAAACTTGGTATGGAACCTTGCAAAGATATGTACTATGAGTAGCAAAAATAAAATTGGGCTAAGACAAATGCTTCATGGGTAGGCCGAGAACTTTTCAGTCACCCCTGGTACAGCATTCTATAAGGCCCTTTTCACACCTGAGCGCATCGTTTTTGTGCATTTTTCACTCGTTTTGTCACGCATTTGTATGCGCGTTTGCAAATGTTTATGCGCAATTTGTTCAAGTGTTTTCAGGCTTTTTGAGTTGTGGTGTTTTTGTATTAGTCAATAGAAAAAAAGATTAAACTGTGGCATCAATTGTTGCCATGTTTTGCCATGCCAGAAAAAAAGCTCAGTTGCGTGACCAAAATGCGTGAAAGCACATGAAAATGCACGATTGATGTGTTTTTGGCGCATTTTCCTTCCCATAGAAATACATGGAAACGCACAAATCTGCCCGAATGGAGCTACAAAACTTTTTTAAGCTTCAGGCGTTCTGCTTCAGGGGACTTGGAGTGGAGATATGAACCATCTCCATAGAGTAATATTGATTTTTTTTCTCCCTGAGCTTCGAGCTCCAAAATGCTCAGGTGTGAATGGGGCCTTAAGAGAAAGAGATGCTACTAATGGTTGGCCAGTTGGCTTTGTGCCATATTCTTTGAAGCCCAACTCTTTATTAATAATAATACATTGCTTCCCCTCCTCCCCCCAATAATGCAAGGGTTAAAAGCTCAAAGTGTTACTAAACACAGGACCGGGCATTTACTATATCCGGTCTCCCACAGTACACAAAACATGGAAATGCAATTATTTTAGTAAATATAAAATGCTAAATACATTTTCTCTTCAGCAGTTTATAGCAGTCTATCATTGTCTGGCTGACCATTGGTTCATCTTGTAGGAGGAGTTTTTATTCTTCTTTGACTCTCCTATGAGGCTGTATGACTACTAACTCTTTGTCTGGACAATGCTAATTTGCCACTGCACCTATCACATGCATCCCCCCCTCCAAAAAAAAAACAAAACCTAGCAATACACACCAAACAAAAGCATGTGCAGACCTTCCACTGCTTCTCTGTACTGGCAGATGGACTGGGGACAGTAAAACAAGGGGAGGATCAGAGAAGACAGGATTATATAGCCTTTATACAAAATGCGGAGGATTAACAGGTTCCTCACTGAGTATAACAAGCATGCTTTACTGTATATACAGACTGATTTTATTGTTGTGGGTTTAGTAATACTAACTTTAGGGAGTAAAGGAAGGAGGTTATATTACTTACTCAATATCTCCCTCAGGCAGTCTGTGCTTCTCCATCACATTTCGAGTTGTGGGAATGCCCTCTGTGCCATCACATAGAATACAGGATAATTAGTCGGTGAGGAGGTAAGCATGCAACCACAGCCTAGACTCTAGGCCCTAGAGCATCTTATAGGGGAGGTTGCAGGAGACCAATAGCACCAGATGTAGTAGGTCTGTCACAGCGAGGAATAGGGGAAGTCGTGAACCCCATTTCTCTACCTCTAGACCGAATAGGCATTTACCTCTTAGCAGTGTTGGCTTTTTTCTTATACCCAGGTTGCGCTTTAACTGGCTGACTCTAAGAGAGCTGCAAGTACATTTGGTGGCCTGATGTTGCCATTACAGAATGTCCCTTTACATTTGAGCAAATGTGTCATATGCCAAGTAGTTCCAAGGCTTTGAATTATCTCGCACTAGATTGAAATAAACAGTTATTTAATCTGAAAGCTGTTCACAACACCAGTGCTGGATGTTAGATTAATTATGGCCTCCAAGTGAATCTCTACTGGGGAAGTTCCATCATTCGACTGTGCTAGTTTTATTAACTTATATTATTGTAAACTCCATTTGTTTGTATGGGGTTAATTTAGTAAAACTGGAGAGTGGTTTCTAGGCAGAGATACACCAGATTTGCAATCAGCTTCAAGGTTTTTTTTTGTCAAAGCCCAATTGAACAAGCTGAAGTTAGGAGCCGATTGGTTACCATGCACAACTGCACCAGATCTTGCACTCTCCAGTGCCCTCATTGTGTCTATGCTTTGGCCACTTATCCAAAAGAACCTGAAGGTCATGGAGAGGAGGAACTAAATAGAAAGTCTAAAAGGGCATGTTCACACCATTAGCGTTGAGCTGCTTTTTGTGCACACCACAGCACACGTATGGTGTGAAGAGGACATAGAAAACAATTGTTTTCTATATGTCCTGTTCACACAATACACGTGTGGTGGTAGGCAGAAAAATACAGCTCAATGGTTATGGTGTGAAGCCCTAAAACAAAAAAGCTGATGTACTGAAAGGTCTTCAGTAGTGCATGTGGCATCTGGCAGTAGTGCTTCTGTATACAGTATCTTCCGGTTAAGCGTAGGTTTGCTACCGGAGCAAAAATATTTTCACATCAAAATGTAACAACACTAGTTAGACCCCCATGTAGTTCACTCTCTCTCGTTGCTTTAATTAAGGGCAGAGCACTCATCTACTATGGGTGTGGCTCTACAAGAAGCAAGATAAGTAAAAATGTGTGATGCAAAGTGGGCATATTTAAAATATGCCAAATATTGGGTGCATCTTAAAGGGGGTGAATAGAGTCTGAGATGACTTACATGGATGGAGAGGATTGTGTGTGTGTACAGTATGGAGATGATTGTGTGCACGTGTGTGTGCAGGATGGAGATGATTGTGTGCATGGATGGAGAAGACTGTGTGCATATGTGTTTGTAGGATGGAGATGACTGTGTGTGTGTGCACAGGATGGAGACAGTAGGATGGAAGTGTGTGTAGAATGGAGATGACAGACAGCGCGGGAGCGATTAGCCATCATGATCTTCCACCATAAATGGAGATGCAGAGAGCCCAAATTGCAGCATTGAGCATATCGCTGCTCGGGTCCACTCCAATCTCACACATGTTGCAGTTCAAGGCTCAAGGTGGGCTGGCATATTCATCTTCACCCCTCCAAAACTGGCTATACCCCCTCTCAGAGTCCAAACAATCACTGAGAGGCAAGCTCCACTTGATCTTGAATTGATGAGCGAGTCCTGAATACCAGAGCTGCCCAAGCCGCTCATCTGCTGGAGGTATGGCCAGGGGAGGGATCCAATCTTTGTCCCCAGCAGTGTGCACCACATCATCTGACGTTTCTTTTATGTGCAATCAGCCCCACAGCTGTCAAATGGTGATTTTTGGAACAAGAACATTTTGTGACAGTTGCTAACAATTCATGAGTGTCCTGGGTGATTTGGGACTGTTGGCAACTATAAATCTGAGGTCTACAACAGCTGTATCCTCTCTGCACAGCATACAATGGCTGCTTTTAGTTTGCCATGATATTCATGTTACGGTAGATCCCTTCAGCGGTGTCCTGCAGATATGACTATGCAGTTAAGTTAAGCAGTGCAAATGCCATAAAATGCTTCCTCAAACCCTTAGTTATTGTTCCCGTGAAATTTTGTATAATAGAATATGATTTAAGCATTGCCCCCTCCCGAACCGGCAACTGATTTAATAAGCAACTAACAAAACTCACTGTGCACCACTCTGACTTTTTCACAATGTGAAATGATATAATAATTGGACATACATCAGTACTTTTCTACACAATTCAGCTGCTTCATAAGGCAGCTTTCAAATGGCATAACCATTATCTTCATTTTCTTCTCACAATGTGAAAGGCATTTCCGAGTAAATGATAAAATAAAGAGGGAACATTATTTAGACTGGCTGAAGGTAACAATTTAATATTCAGCACACAAACATCACTTTGTATTTTCAGAAAGTTAAATGGATTACTCTTGAAGGAATTAATTTATTATCTGCCAACGGCAAGGTTTGTCTAATGTCCAGAAAAACCTTTAATAAAATATCTGGAGGATTATTTTTTCTTTTAACCAGTGATGGCCAACTGTAGGCTTGTTTTTCTCTTTAAATGTTTTTCCAAAAACGGAAACCTATAAACTCATTTCAACTTGCTGAAATACCTGACCTGGTGTTGACTACTCTAAAGAGTCTTTCGGAAACTAGGTTTAGACAGGTTTGTTTTGTTGCGATTAGTTTTTGGAACAAAAATGTCATTTTCGGAGACTTGGATGCATATGAATCTCTAAATGGACATAGTAACGGTAACGGATGTCAACAAATCCGAAAAAAGTTATAAACAAAGTTAACAAAAATGTATATTCATTTTGATGACGTCACTTGATGAGATAGCAGTTTGGGCCCATGGGAAAATTAATTCAATTTTTACATTTGTTCAATAATTCAGATTTGGATAACAAATAGATCTCAGTTTCATTCCATTTCTTAATTCGGATACACATGATACCAGTTGATATTGTTCAATCAGATCCTGCCATTTCTTTTTTGGTGGGTTGGACTAGTATTCGAAAATATTGAATCCCGCTGAATCGATAATATAAATTGAATATATAGCAATCTTCTGAATAAACCAACATTTTTCAAAATTCACCCAGACCAACGAATACGAAATGAATGCTGAAGATAGGAAAAAATTCCAGAAATGAATTGGTTCAACAAAATATGATGAAACAAAAATTCTTCAATAAACAAATGCATTCAAAATGAAAAAGAAAATTTCTGGCATGCACATATCTTACTAGGTTGTACTTAACTTTCTATATGTAACCCTAAATATTTCCTGCAGCATTATCTGCTGAAGATATCTGGTCTTGTAGTTCCTGCACTTTCAACTATACTTTTTCAAAGAAAAGCCAACAATGCTTTCTTAATAAACAGTTGCCTGCTTGCTATAAACTTTCTTGATTTTGAAAACCTTGTCATTGAGCTGGATAGGTGACTCAACTTTAAAAGAAAAACCTGAGCAGACAGTGACATTGAAGCAGCTGATGTTTAATATATTTAAAAATATTAATATTCATGAACTATAATACTTTCTATTAAGAAATGACAAACAGGTAGGTTTTGCAATATTTTTTTTCTTTATATTCAACTGTACCTTCAGAAAAAATATTGTTAAACCCAAAGTACTGCATCACCATCAAGTTCTTCTGTGGCTGGACTCCACCCCACATGCACCTCACAGCCCCATTTACTTAGACATAGAGCTCTCCAATTGTTAAGGAGATTAAGTTTAGTTTTGCTGGTTTATTAGCTCTAGCAGATTATTTCCAATATATATAAAACTTACACGTTAGGATAGGATTATTTGTAGCCGTCTGGGTTTAACTACCGTAGTTCTTTTTCTCCCGAAGGCAAAATTGGGCTTTAAGCAGTGGTCAGTTAGGAGTGACCATTTGGACACATCCAGTTACAGGCCCAGGTATCATTGTACTTACTGTGAATTATCAAATCCTCAAAAGTGACTAGCTCCCCATGAATGAGCCTTCACCTTCATAATATTTCCAAAATATGCCACTTTTTAATTAATGAAACCGCCAAGCTACTAATTTACTTCCTCATTATTTCATGCCTCAGCTACTGCAACTCCCTTCTTGTTAGCCTACATCTACCCTTTAGTTCACCATGAATGCTGCGGTCAGACTAATCCACCTCCTCAATGGTTCAGTATCTGTCACCCCTCTCTTTCATTCCCACCACTGGCTTCTGTTCAATAACTTTTAAATACGAACATACAAAGTGTCAGGGATCTCCTCGATCCCCGCCGCAATGGTCCCGGCGCAGGCGCAGTGCACCGCCCTGTGCAGGGACACAGGCACTAGGTCCGGGCCGGCCGCGGCGTTCGAGTTCGCGCATGCGCAGTAGAAGCCGCGGCCGCCCGCTGGGCACCAATGGCAGCGCAGGGCGGGATATTTAAATGGCCCTGAGCTGTCATTCAGTGCCTTCTGGTCTTTCCTGCATCCTGTGATTCTGCGTACCTGTGCCCTGTAAGTTATTGACCCGGATTGTACCTGACCTTGCTATTTTCTCCTGTCCTGACCCTTGCTTTGCCTGACCTCTCTCCTGGATGCCCCCTATTGGATTTGACCTGCTGTTGCTGACCTGGTGTGTGACCCGACCATTCTCTGCCCACTGCCTTGTACCTTACCGTCCTCTCTGTTACTGACCCGGCCCGTCTGACCTTGCTCATCCATCCGTCCATCCACCCATCCCTCGCAGTGGGGTCTTCTGACCTCCTCATATCCCCGTGGGAGCCTTGGCGCATACCACTACCACTGACGGACGCACCCAGTAGCCACGACCTGGTGTCGG